TGAGCTGGTGTTAAGTAGATAATGGATTTTTATAAGTAAAATAACTGAGGGGCAAACCAGTATTCAAATTGTTTTATTGTGTTTGGTGGTCAATTTTAGTTTTTCCTGATTTTAATTTCTCCTGATTGGTTGTTTCAATCTAACTCTTTCTTGCTTAACTTATATAAAAGAAGAAATAGATGCCAATGAAATGATTGAGATTAAAAGCCTTTAAAGATGGTGAAGGTACCTTTGTTTTACTTAGTAGCCCATTGCTTAAAAGATGGAAATGCAGTAATGTTCCTTTAATCCCACCAATTAAACATAAATCTAGGCTGGGAGTATTTTAAAGATGAGTCCTCATCAGCTGGGCCTAGAATCCCTCTAAGCATTCTTAATTCAAAAAGTCTAATTTAATTAGCATCATGCCACTGGGTCAGCTGTGACACCTCCTTAGATCTCTGGCCTGAGGAGAAATGTGCAACCCTGCTCTTTTTATTTCTCGTTAGTCTCATAAAAGGTAAAATGTCCAAGGAGAGACAGGAAATTTGCTTCTCCATCATAATTTTCCTAGAGTGCTAATTGAGCTGAGAGTCTTAGACCACAGTCTGTTATTGCTGAAACCAAGTCTTGAGCTGATACCCAATGAATGGATTGCAAATGTCAAATGGCATCTTTGTCCTTGTGGCTCTTGAAATACGGAAAATAATTGATCATGGGTAGCTCTTCGGGCTGCTTGCCTGACTAACTGCAACAGCACAAAACGCAGAAAAAATAATGTATTCAAATCCTACTAGTTAAGGCTACACTATCTCTTTTCACTTTCCCTAACCAGAGTGCTAATAAGGGAAAAAAATGTAAAACTCCTTGGCTTTCCTAATTGCTGTGTTTTGCCCTCATAACTTTTGTTACTGCTTAGCACGGGGAGAGTCTTGTTTCCTGTCAATCACTCTGGTTCTTTCTGCCTAGAAAATAAGAATACATGCTTTTTGAGACTTGAGATTATTCCAGACCTCTTTCATAATAAAATCAATGATTATTTGGAAGTAATTATTTTACAATAATGAGTCATATCAATCAGGAAAGATTTATATTAATAGTCACTGTGACAGTCCTCAAATTTTCCTCAGGATTTCAGAACTGCAGATATATTTGATTTCATCACAATTTTGGACTGTGAGGATATGCTGTGTTTTACCTTCTCCTGTATCATAGCAGTGGCAGTATCATGTAATGACCAAATCATGACTGTTAGTGGAAGACAACACCAGCTTTTAAATCTGGCTCTTTTCTGTAGCACCTTGGGTTTGTTACTTTGCCTCTCTAAGCATGAATTTCCAACTTGAAAAATAAATTTTGACAAATTAATCCTTTCCAGGGCTACCTAGAAAATTAGGTCACATAAAACAATGTAAATAACCTAATACTTCCTACCACATAGCAGGTGCTCAGTAAATGTGCTCTCTGTTTTACTTAGCATTACTTTCACTTGGGAGATTCTTCCTGGCTTATGTAGTTGGCTGGAAAGAATGTTATTCATTTTGGTTTTATTTCACGTGTGAAATCAGATTTTGCTACTGAAGGTATTACCACAAGGATAGAGGATCTTCAGCTTTCAAATGTTCTCTTTTATAAGAGAACATGCCTGATAGTATAGCAGTAACAAACACTAGCATCTGTTCTTGTGTTATAGAAAGTAAATTCTACACTTGATGTCACCGGAAATCCTTGCAGTAACACTACAAGGAAATTTGTTTTATCATTATCTTACATATCATAAACTGGAGCTCATAAAGGTAGAATGACTTGTTTAAGGTCACACAACTAATATGGAAGGTTGAAATGAATCAATGTTTACTGTCTAAGGGAGGAGTGAAGAATTACAAAAAATAAGAAGTTGGGCAGGAAAGTGGACCAAAAGAAGTCAGGAAAGCAGGAAAATAGGAAGGAAAACAATTAATGAAGAAAGGAATTAATAATTAGGAAGAAAGGAAGGACAAAAAAGATGAGAATAAAGAAGGGATAAAAAATGGAAAAGAAGTTAAGGAAGGAAAGAAATATCCTAAGATAGTTCTTTCTGGATGAATTTTCTAGCTTTAACCTTTTCTCCTTTCACAAGTACCCACTTTTTCTCTTTTCTAGGGAAATGTCAGCTTTGGAAATAATTTAACCCAAATGATCATGCTGTTGGAATAACTCTCTCCTGGTGCTGCTGTAATTTGGCTTACAATTATAATTAATTGAACATCTTCGGAATGAACTCAGAGCTGCATGCAGGTGGAAAAAATTTTAATGTGCTAAGCATGCAAAAACATGATCTTAGAAGCTCATTTTTGCCAGCAGAAAAAGGAAGTCATTAGTGAGACATTTTTCAGCAAGGAGAGAAAAAAAATTCTTTAAAATCTCACGGTCATGAGACAAGCTCTAAGATGATCCTTAGGCCCCATTAAGGATGCAGTAATGAAAAGGGTTTCTGAGCCACAGGTTGGCATCTGTGAAAAGGTTCCCCTTCTCAGGAATCAAGACACATTAGTCTCATTATTTGCAGATACTTGACAAGACAAGAGCCAGAGGGAAGCAGCAACGTAAGGAAATGCACTGCAGAGAGGAGGAGGCTAATTAGAGGAAACAAAGAAAGAAAGCTTGACAAATCTGTTCTAGATAACCCCCTTCTAAAGGTAGAGCATTTCAGAAGCAAACAATTTTCCCTCTGGATATGATTTTTTTCCAACAGGAACTTGGAAGGATTTTTGTGTTGCCCTGGAACTGGCCATAGTCCTGATTAAATTGGCATTGTATATTCTGTGACATTATTATTATTATTATAATTATCATCATCATCTTCACTGTCATTCAGAGGTTACAATTCCCTATATCAGGCTGTGAGTACAGTTCATCTTGATCAATGCCATCCCTCCATCATTCTCCTCTATTTTTCTCCCCATTTTTCCTTACCTATTATCCCCCTCTGTGACATTTTCAATTCAAACTCAAATCCTTTCCAAAGGTACTCCTTTTAAGTACACATGTGAAAGGATTAAGCCACAGACTAACTTAGTCTAGGTACTGAATTATTCACTAAAATAGATAGAGCAAAGGAGACAAAATTTTTGTTGCTGTTATTTTAAAAATTAATTCATTTTTATTTATTTATCAGCTGTTCTGGGTTTGAATTCGGGGCCTTATGCATGCTTGGCTTGCTCAGTAAACTAGCACTGTAGTATGCTTCAAAGCCTGCTTTTGATTAGTTAATTAGAAATGGATCATCATATACTTTTATGCCCAGACTGATATTGAACCCCAACCTCTGGTTCTGACTCCTGGTTAGCTAGCAGTACAGGGGTGAGCCACTAACAGCCAGTGGAGACTTTTTTTTTAACTAAGTTTCCCTTTTCTTCTCCTGTATCTTTGTCAGAAAGATTTATTCCTGAGAAGTCGCCTCAGGTTCCTTGGTTTTACATACTATAAGCCTTTTGGGAACTTACTTGGTAAGATAGAATATCTGTAACTGTAATTGGGTACAAAAATGAAAAAAAAAAAACTGGAGGCTGAAAAGAGATAAATCTCGTTAGAAGTAGCAAAAGTACCATGGTTTTACTTTCTACATACGCTGGGCTATCCATGAGTTCATCAGAGCACGTGGGGTCTGGCAGCTTTGTAACTACAGGTCATAAGAAGCTCAAAGGAGTTATTGAGGTAAGGCTGCTGTTCTCCTGATGGAAATTGCCCTTTAAAAGCATAATTTCCAATTGGCAGTAGGAGCGGGAAGCTTGCACAAATATCCAAGGAACAATCAGCAGGTCTACCGTTCCACTTGTATGAACCCACATTACTCCAGGAGGAGAAAACGCAGATGTACCTAATTGCCACCAGTCCATAGCAAGCTCTACAGTCACAAATTATACATTCTGGGTTTAGAGTTCTGGTTCTCGTTCAGGGGCACTATTGTCTTATTTGTTTCTTCCCATCCCCTCCATTTACCCTCATCCTTCTTTTCTTCCCTCCCTCTCCCTCTCCCCTTCCTCCCTCCCTTTTTTCCTTAGTTCCTTGCTTCCTTCTGTTCTGACTTGGTCTTGCTATTTAGTCAGTGCTGAAATTGCTGTGAATGTTGAGATTATAAGCCAGTGAGGCCATGTACAGATGTACAGTTTGAGATATTTTTGTTTGTCATGATTTATGGAGGGGATTTTCTTCTAGGTTCTCTTGACATAGCCAATAGAACTAAGATGAAAGATAACATTAGCTAGATTATATATACATATATATATATATATATATATATAGCATATATATAATAGAGAGAGCTAGAGAGCTAGATAGAGACAGAGAAAGAGATACCCCACAAATTTCACCATAGATTGTTTCTAGGACCCTTGCAGAGGTTATCAGATCAGTTGGTTTCATAACTGATCTGATAATATTTACGACATCTCAGTATGGACATTGATAGGTTGTCTAAATAGAGCTCAGAGTACTCAGCATAACATAGAAAGAAGACCAAATAATTGAATGCAACTTTATTGATGTGATGGTCACAATTGCTCTACTAATATATCTGAAAGAAGGTATACACAGTGAAAGTCTTGGGAAATAAAATACATTTTTAAATTAGTTCTTCATGTCACCAAAGAATTTTTAATTACACAGCTCAGCTCCAGAAGTAACATATAAGAAAGTAGATCAAGATTCTAAGAAATCCAACCAATGACTCTCAAACAGAAATCTCCATGACTCAGTCTATACTTAAGCCCCGTCTCCAAATAATAAGATAAATTTATTTTATTTTTAAATAAAATTGAAAACAATTATTCATGTATACTCTTAGTTCTTTTGCATCTCATTCTTTAGTCACAGACCCAAAGCTCAACTTACGGTAGGGAATTAAACAAGACATATATAAGTAAGTCAAATGAAGGAGACCTGAGAGGGTAGAGTATCATAACTGAAAGCAAGTCTGCCATGGTTGGAACCACTGCTGTCAGTTTGGGGAGAAACTTTCTTTAGGTATACACCAAGTGCTGTCAGCTGCTGTCCTCAAAGCTGCCACTGTTCTGGCAAGAATACAAATGCATGGGGCTCATGGGATCAGACACATAGCCTGCATCAGAAAAGAAGTTCAGTTGTTACTTCTTGGCCTTCCAGTACAGTATCTCCCCATGTTTCTTACCCAGACAGACCCAGTACAATACAGAGCTGCCAGCCACCTCCCCTAGATACAATAAATGAAGTGTGGACAAGAGTAGCTGATGAGCAAGCTGAAACGCAAAAACCAAATTTAAGGTGAAAACAGGCTCACCACCAGATGAGCATAAATGACAAATATTGGCATTGACTCTGCTCTAGATTTCGAGTAAAGAAGGGCGTAGTTCTGGAAGGTAGCATGTCGTGATGGCTGAGAGCACAGGCTCTTTGTATCAGGCAAATCTGTGTTCAAGTCAAGGTTACACATTTGCTAGCACTGTGAATTTTGCCAACTTAATCTTTGTAAGACTAAGTGTCTACATCTGTATATTGGATGGATGATATTTCTTACCTAGAAGGTGGCAATGTATGTAAGACACTTAGCAGTCTAACACCAGTTGAATACTAAAGGATAGCCCAAAAGGAGGTGGAATACTAAGTTAAACAAAAAGAAAATAAAGATCCTTTTTCTGTTGAGGGTAGGCTCATTTTACCTCCTCTTTCTGGTAGCTCATTTGGTGTACTTCAATGCTAGATCTAACAACCATGCCATTGGTGGCCTTTGAAGCACTGCTCTGGGTATGTCCCAACAGTAGTAGCTCAGGATCAGGGCACTGTCCAGGAAAAATTGGGCTGATACAGGAAAGCAGTTGCCTTTTCACTCTGAAGTGGAAAAGTCATTCATTTCTTCAGTAAATATTTGTCAATAGCAGCCACTGTTTTTGCTGTGTTTTCCTGGCTGACTTCAGGATCAACTCAGCCATCTACATTTTCATTAAGCCAGCAAGCAGTATGCAGTTGGACAGGTATATTTATTTTCATAAGAAAAGTCTCTGTCAAAATCTCTTAGGCAGCACAGCAATAAACTCTGCTGCAAGAAAATGCTGCTCCATCTGTCAACAGCCTTCTCTCACTCACATCTTCTGGGACTGACCCTGGTCAGAGCGGAGGAAAATTGTGGTGAGCAGAGAAAGAGATGAGGGACAGCTGATACGCAACAATGAATCTTAACTCTCAAGGAACTAAGACAAAATCTATATCTTAGTGCAAAAGTATTTGCTTTTGTCCAGCTGGACATGCAACTTCATTCCAGGCATATGTGGATACTCCAATAAGCTGGGAACCCTTTCATTACCATAATCGCCTTCTAATATGTCATACCATATTACTGGCTCATGACGGTCCATTGTTTCCTGCCCCATGTAACTCCATTGAAAATGTGTTTGTGAACAAATGTCTTATCACCAATATGGTTGAGCTCTCAGTTGGGGAAGGGAAATAATATAAGTATGGTGCTGGGGCTGGCATTTAATAGTAATGTCTTTGGCAACAGAGTATTAAAGCAGATGTGTTGGTTTTGAGTAATTACTCATCTTAAGAGGGACTAAACTGAAATTTCAATGTAAGTTTCAGGAAAAGATTGATAGATTGGAATAAAGGATGTCAAATGAGGCTAAGGACTACGTTTAATTTATTTTCATTCTCTACCTCTGTCCTGAGGTGTGAAAATTTTAAAAAGTAAATAACAACAAATAGCTCATAGGTTGCTGTTATTCTAAAACTGGTTTATGAAATGAAAAGAAAGACTAATTAAAGTGGTTTTTTTTTCTGTGATAAAATAGCCCTACTGGAAAGCCTTAAATACATCTGACTTATCAGCAGGAATTCTTACTTCATGCAAATACCCTCGTATTTTTATTTCCTTTTTTATAGTAGTGGGGTTTGAACCCCAGGGGCTCACAGACACTCTTACTGCTGAACCACACCTCCAGACTTGATTTTTTTGCTCATTATTTTTGCTCTAGAGTCTCACTTCTGATATAGGCAAAATAGGCTTCCTGGTAGCCAGTATAACCAACGTATGAGATGGAATCCAGATCTTCACTGAGAAACGACTTAAGAAATTTTTCTCTCTGGGCTGACTCGAACCTTGATCACAACAATCATAGCCTCTTATATAGCCAAGATTATAGGCATGAGCCACCAGTGCCCAATTCATGATTTTCACCTTCCTTGGGTATAAAGGTTCATAGGAAAAATATATAACTTTTATATATGATTTACTTTTGGTTTCGCTTTCTCCGGAGAACTCTCAGAAGTCTAACTCTTTAATTCTTTAAGAAACAGATTTTAAATGAAAGGAAACCTTCATCTTGAGATTTTTTTCCCACATAAAAAAGCAAGAGTCCTGGTCAAAGTACACATCTCATAGGAGGCCCTGTATGTTAAATTGTGATGTCACCACTGTAAAGATTTGAGGAAATGATATTCCATCTATTAAAAAATGTGATGAAGCCAGGGTCTGGTGGCTCACTCCTATAATCCTAGCTACTCAGGAGGCTGAGATCTGAGGACTGCAGTTCAAAGCCAACCTGGGCAGGAAAGTCCATGAGACTCTTATCTCCAATAAACCACTAGAAAACAATAAGTGGCGCTGTGGCTTAATTGATAAAGCACTAGCCTTGAGCTGAAGAGCTTATGGACAGTGCCCAGGCCCAGAGTTCAAGCCCTAAGACTGACAAAAAAAAAAAAAAAAAGATGATATGGCACTTGCAGCACATTTTCCCCTGACATAGACTGTAAAACCCAGCCTAGACAGCACTCAGCCACATCCTCACATGTATCTAGAGTAAAAAGCAAAAAGATTTTTTAAATGTATGTAACCAATTTGTCTGCCTCTACCCAGAGCACCTTCTCTTTGTTACTTTGTGTCTCCAGAGTTTTCTGTTGCCTTAGGTAAAGAAAGTCTGCATTCAATGTATACTGGTGTGGATCCCAGAATCCCAGGTCTCCAGGGTCAATGGCTATCCACATCAGAGAAGGAGGAACACGTCATCCACTTTACTCTTTCTCAAATCCAGCTCTTGTAACAAATGTGATCTCTTTAGCTAACAAGCTTTTTTTTTATCATCCATATTGTCAAAGAAAGTTGCCATGAGTAAATGTGCCCATTGTACTAAAATTCCAATTAAATACCGAGCCTCTCAGGCTTAAAGGCTGTAAAGGGGCATTCATCCCTATTTCATTAATATGGTGGCAACTGTCCATCCTCCAGGCTTCCAGAGGTCTACATAGAACTCGGTTAATTATGTCAAAGTGCCCTGTTAATTCATTGTGAAGAGTCCTGTGCAAAATAGAATCACATCAGCACCCCCCTTGCCTTGTCTTCAGCTGTTTGAGGGGATGGCTTTGGTTTAAAGTTCATCCTTGGGTGTTTGGCTAATGATGAAGAGCTCCCCTATCATGTAATATAATTGTAGAAATGTACCCTGTTTGCCTTCTCCTCCCTACACACCTGTGATGTGGGGCTTAGAGGTAATGGGCCCAATGATGATGGCCAAGTGTTTGGGATGACATGAGAGGCCAGAGATGATTTTCACAAGAAGAGTTTTTAGAGAGTATATCACATGCTCATACCTATGTTCACACACACATCCTCACACACTGCTGCAGAAGAACACACTTTTTTTAAACTTAAAGGCAAGTGTAGGGCTATGAAAGGTGTGAGGATAAGAATTTACAATTTTTTTCAAACATCTTTTATTTCTAGAAATTAGAGAATGTTGCCTATCTTCCTTAATATCAAATGAGTAGATACCACTTTCCTAATAACCTAGTCAATCTGTCTATTTACCATATTTGTCAATGGGTGAGTGCTGGAGACTTCTCTTCATTTCCTCCAAAGATAAGCTCTGAGAGGGACACGATCCAACACTGAAAAATAAATTAAACACAGCTTTACATCTCCATGGTGCTAACTTTCTAGTATTTCGTTTTTGTTTTATTTTTGTTTTGGTGCCAGTACTGAGGCTTAAACCCGAGGCCTTAGAGCCTCAATTGTCATTTTTACTTAAGGCTGGAGCTCTGCCACTTGATCCACACCTCTACTTCCAGCATTGTGCCAGCCAATTGGAGGTAAAGACTATCATGGAATTTTCTGCCCATGATGGCTTTGAACAGCAATCCTCAGATTTCAGCCTCCTGAAGATTACAGGTGTGAACCATAGGTGCCAAGATTACTGAATGTTTTTAAACAGAACTAATTGGGCTGAGAAGGAGGCTCATTGGTAGAGTTCTTGCCTTGCATGCATGAGGCCCTGGGTTCAATTCCTCAGCACCACATAAGCAGAAAAAGCCAGAAGTGGCACGGTGGCTCAAATGGTAGAGTGCCAGCCTTGAGGTGAAGAGCTGAGGGACAGTGCCCAGGCCCAGAGTTCAGGCCCCACAACTGATAATAGAATTAATTCACTTGGCATAGTTCCTGGAGAAGTGGTAAAATGACACGAAGTTCATTTTATCTTATAAATGTCCAGCTGGAATGGAGTTCAGAATTATTAGGAGTAAGCCAGATCTAGAGTCTCCTGTTTCCTCTACAAAGGTTCTATATCATCTGAGCACCAGCATGGCCCCTGTTGAGCCTCAGTTTATTTCTGCATATATGAAACAACATAAATAATTTAGTTTGTTTCAATAGTTTAATACACATAAGAAGAAATAGCGGATGTAAATCTGGGTCCATATACAGAGCCCATATACAATCCTTCCTTCTAAAAATATTTTTGTTACCTTGAAGTAGTTGTAAAAACAAGTTTAAACTCAAAATGGCAAAGCCGGGGACTAGTGGCTCACACCTGTCATCCTACCTACTTAGAGGCTGAGATCTGAGGATTGCAGTTCAAAGCCAGTCCGGGGAAGGAAAGTCCGTGAGACTCTTATCTCCAATTAACTACCAGAAAACTGGAAGTGGCTCTGTAGCTCAAATGGTGTTGGCCTTGAGCTGAAGAGCTCAGGGGCAGCCCCCAGGCCCAGAATTCAAGCCCCACAACTGACAAAAACAAAAACAAATTCAACAGGGCAATTTACGTGTACAATATATCTTGACTAGTCCTTTCTTAGAAGGAGCTAAGAACAAGGCCATCATCATTTTTATAATGGTTAATATAAATGAAACATCCCAAAATTTTAATGGTTATTGCTATTATTATAATGGCAATTCTGTGATAGAGTGATGTTTACTTCTTAACTTCTTCATGTGAGCCATTTACACATAATCATCTCATTTAAATCTTATCACTATCTTACTACTGAGATGTAATTTCTCTCATTTTATAGTTAAGAAAACAGAGTCTGAAACAATTAAGAAATTAGTTACACAGATTTGGTGCATAGTTCTTCTAGGATTTAAGCCAACATTTAATATCTGATCACATCTGTCAGTTATATGTCTGTCATCTCTCATGTATCCATTCATCTTTTTCTGAGTTCAAAGCAGCTACCTGACTTACTTTCACACTGGCCTTATTATATGTATAGCAGAATTCTTTTTTTTTTCCACTTTGTGTTTGTTTTATTTTTTTTTAATTTAATTTTATTTTATTTGAGAACATACTGTACAGAGGGGTTACAATTACATGGGCAGGATAATGCATACATTTCTTACCAAGCATTGCAGCCTCCTCCTTTGTTTACCCTTCACCTCCCTTCCCAGCCTCCCCCCTCCCCCCCCCCACCCAATCCTTTCCCCCCACCCCCACACCGACATTGTAAAGCTCATTTTTGACATGACATTTTGTACTTCTCATTGTTGCAACAGGTCCACCTGAATCCTTAAACGACTTGTTTGTCCCCATCTCCTCCACAAGTTATACTGACATCAAATATAGTGAAAGCGGGGGTTACACTATGGGGGAGGGACATTCAAAGCAACAAAGAAATAATCTTATAAATGCGTTAGAAACACATGCATGAAAAAAAACATTAAAATACATATTTAAGGGTTCGTTTTCCTAACATCACATTATCTGACCTTTTCCGCTTGACTCATACATATACTAGATATTGCAAATAAGGGAAACCATGGGACCTATGTTTCTTTGGGCCTGGCTTACTTCACTTAATATAATTTTTTCCAAGCCTTTCCATTTCCTAACAAATGGGGAAATGTCATTCTTTCTGATGGAGGCATAGAATTCCATTGTGTATATATACCACATTTTCTTGATCCATTCAGCTACTGAGGGGCATCTGGGTTGGTTCCATGGCTTAGCTATGGTAAATAATGCTGCAATAAACATAGTTGTGCTGGTAGCTTTAGTGTGGTCTTGTTTGTAAACATTTGGGTAAATGCCCAAAAGTGGGATTGCTGGGTCATAGGGGAGTTCTATGTGAAGTCTTTTGAGGAACCTCCATACTGCTTTCCAAAGTGGTTGAACAAGTTTACATTCCCACCAACAATGAAGTAAGGTTCTTTTCTGTCCACATCCCCTCCAGCATCTGTTGTTGTTAGAGTTCTTGATTTTTGCCGTTTTAACTGGGGTGAGGTGATATCTCAATGTTGTTTTGATTTGCATTTCTTTTATGGCTAGGGATGTTGAACATTTCTTCATGTGTCTATTGGCCATCCTTCTTTCTTCTTCAGAGAAGTTTCTCTTTAAGTCTTTCGCCCACTTATTTATTGGGCAGTTGTTTCTTTGAGGATTTGTTGTTGGGGGGTTTAATTTTTTGAGTTCCAAGTATATTTTAGATATGAGACCCTTGTCCATTGTATTGCTAGTAAAGATCTTCTCCCAATCCGTGGGCTTTCTATTGATCTTGCTAGCTATGTCATTTGCCCTGCAGAAGCTCTGCAACTTTATGCAATCCCATTTGTCCAACCTTTCTTTGATTTGTTGTGTTTCCGGGTCTCTATTCAGAAAATTTCGGCCTGAGCCAAGGAGACCTAGGGTTTCTCCTATTCCATCCTATAGCAGAATTCTTAATACTGCCAGCCCTCAAGTCAATTCTCTCTGTTTCAGTCACCTGTCCTGTATAAATGAATTTTTGGTCTCATCCTTGGTACCTTTTTTTCTCTCATTATCTGTCACTTAGCTCATCTTTTTAGCTCTGCCTCTAAAATAAAATCCTAATTCATCCATCTTGTTCCTCCTTCAAAGTTAAGGCTACCTAATCTCTCTCATCTCTGAATCTCTCGGTCTTCTAATTGGCCTCCCTGTTCATTTCTGTCTCTATTATAATCTATCCTCTACCTGTTACCCAGACTGATATTTTGAAAACATAAAGTAAGTTGAGGATCCTCCAGTTACTTCCTAGTTCATTTGGAATAAAATACAAATAATGCATCCTCTACAAAAACCTTATCCCTCCCTACTTCTCCATCCACAACCATGGGTTGCATTCTCTTCAGTTTTCGCCTACATCTCTCATTCTTCCTGGCATCATCTCTGTCCCATGAGCCCTCCAAGTTCTCTTCCAAGTCTTGGCATTAGTTAACTTACCTGGAATATACTTCTTTTTTCTAATTTTAAATTGTTATTATAAAGGTGATGAACAGAGGGATAACAGTTACAAAAGTCAGGTAAGATAAACATTTCTTGTCTGACAATATCATCCCTTCCCTATCACTCTGGAATATTCTTCTTAATAACTCAAACCCCATTTTGCTGAACCCTTGTGTGACATATATCCAAGATGGCTCCTCTGACATTGAAGCTTAAATGTCCCTTACTTAGAGTGATCTTCCCTAGCAGGCATTGTGAAGGGGTTACTCCTTTGACTCAGGGTCACTCTGTGACACAGCACATCACATCTCCTTATTTCTTTCAGAATCTTGTAAAAATCAACTTTCTTAATATAACTTGTTACTTATATATATATTGTCTTTTTTCTGCCCAATGAGGGTAGAGACTTTTATCTTGTTCCCTGCTATATCCTCAACATTCAGAATACGTGTTTGACCCATAGGAGAAGTCCAACAAATAATTTTGAGCAATTATATTAAGTAATAGATCCTTAAATGTTCCTGTCCCTTCCTCTTACACAATACTCCCTCTTCAAGGTATTGCTGTAACAAAAATTTCATCATTTGCCGGGCACTGGTGGCTCACACCTTGTAATCCTAGCTACTAGGAGGCTGAGATCTGAGGATCATGGTTCAAAAGGCAGCCTGGGCAGGAGACCCTTATCTCCAGTTAACCACTAGAAAACCGAAAGTGACACTGTGGCTTATGTGGCAGAGCAGTTGCCTTGAGCTGAAGAGCTCAGGGACAACACCCAGGCCCAGAGTTCAAGCCCCACAACCAAAAAAAAAAAAAAAAAAAATCACCAGGTTCCCGTGGCTTACTCTTGTAATCCTAGCTACACAGGAGACTGAGATCTGAGGATCACAGTTCAAGGCCAGCCCGGGCAGGAAAGTCCTTGAGACTCTTATCTCTAATAACACTAGAAAACTAGAAGTGGCACTGTGGCTCAAGTGGTAGAGCACTCACCTTGAGCTGAAGAGCGCAGGGATAGCACCCAAGCCCAGAGTTGAAGCTCCATGACCAACAACAACAACAAAAATCAGTGCTTGCTTGGTGATTCTTCAGGTCAGTGATCCAAACCCTCTACCATCCAATCTGTATTGTGTTTTATTTATCTTGTATACTATGATTCCTTAGTACCATTTTTTCTCCTACCCTGAACTCATCCACACTAATTGACTGGGTTTTTCAAACATTCATGATTTCCTCTTCTCTATGATTGCAGCTGAGCTGCTCCCACTGTTGAAGGTGCTTGAGGACATCTTATTTATCACTGACAGGAAGAGGGTAGTGTTATTTTTAAAATGAGCAATCCAATGCCAGACTCCTGGAGTCTGAATCCTAAGTACATTACTCACTGCTCTATGACCCTTACTGAATTGTTAACTGCCTTATATCCCATTGTGCAGCTATTAA